CAGATTTAGCTAAATGGAATTTGTTTTCAGCTCGATGCAATATCTCCTCTGTAAACTTACTTAGAGGCCTTAGATCTCTCAGGACAGTATTGCACATGAGAAATCTTAGTCAAAATTTCACAGAAGTAAACTCAACACTTAGTAGTCCTTGATGCATACCCAAAATGCATGATACAGAATAGTGACAATATGCTGTATGTCAGGAAAGTGACAAATGCAACATTTGCCTTTCGTCTTTTTTTTTTTGGATACAGAAAGCCAGGCCAGGAATTTTTTCCTTACCGCTGTCTCCTGTAGTGTTTGTTGCTTGCTGGACTTGAGAAAACATCAAATTATCTATCACTAAAAAAGTGAAAAGCACAAGCATTTTTTCCTAGTAGATATAAGAAAAGAATTATTTTTGTGTATTTTTCCTCTAATTCTGGAAAACATGAATCTTACTGAAGGTGAAGCATTTCTGTTTGCCTGTGCACTTTCAGCTGCCTTTGACTTCTTCGTCTCCTTTGCTTTATATTTGGAAGCTGCTGGCAATTTAATTTCTTAAATATTGTTTACGATTCATTTTCAAAAAACATTAAGAAAAATCCATGTCAACTTATATATGTTGTGCATTAGGGAAAGAGATTTCAAGATGGGATATTCATAAAGCACTTTACAATAAATTTCCTCTTACTGCAAAATCAATTCATCACACTCAGAAGTTTAAGCATACAAATAAAAATAACCTCCAAATGAGCAGTTATAAACTCCTTAGAGGATAAAATAACATTACAATCTAGAAATGGTAAAGGATAAATATAATATAGGTGATAAACCAAATATTTAAAAGTAATAGAAATGCAAAGAACAAAGAAAAAAAATTAACATATTATGAAAAAGCATGAGTTAAAGGTAGAAAATACTAGATAGGACCTATTAAGAGATCATTAAAGGAAATGAATGCAATCTATTGTAGGACTGCAACAGGGAATTGCAATAGAATTATGAATGAGTCCCATACTCCTGATACTCCTCTCATGTTCTGATTTTTGCATAAACTACTTTTGGAAGTGCAATCAATATTTAAAGCAAAGACCTCATTACAGCAATGTTTACTGTTGAAAAATATTCCATATGAAATGGGCCTTTCTTGGTTTCTTCAAATGGGGTTTAACTAAAGATGAATTGGCAGGCTTTCTTCATATATAATATAACATAGTATGCTTTCTCAATAGATGGACACTAAGAACAGTTAGGGTATTTAGTATGAAAGTAAAATCTAGTAACCTTAATGTGAAACAGAACAAAATATTCTTAAAATATCAAGTGTCTTAACATGAATCAGTTTAAAAGGACATGCATTTTGATTGCATATTTAAAAATATCTTTTCACTCATTAATACCAAAAATAGGGTAATAGAATAATATTTAATAAGAAACAATACTGAGATTCTAAGGTGAACATAGTTTATTAAATATCGTGTTCTGTGTTATTGAATAAAATAAATAACAACAAAACAAAACCCACATACAAATTCCTGACCTGATAATTTATATATAGTACTATAGCAAGTCGTGTTTCTTCTTTAAATATTCCACAAAATAATGGACTTTTGAATGGGAATATAATCTTTTTACGCTTAGGTGAACAGTATTATTGTATTAAAAATTAACCAGTTTTGCCTATAAAAGTGACTTTTTCTTATTTGTCCCATCAAGAGTCTTGTTCTGCCTATTTATGGCTCTTTTATAATTTTTCTCATGTCTGGAGATTTTTCCTCAACATAGCATAATGTAATTTAGTTTTAATCATTCAAAGGTTTAAAACTTCCTTGCAATTGTAAGGTCCTGAGTTTGATCCCTGGTACAAAAAAGATTAAAATCCTAATGGCAAAAATACTCAGAACTTTTTGGAAATAAATATCCATTCTTTTATAATACTTAGTGGTTATTGATGTTAAAGTACTATGTCATTAGTGAAAGATCATAAATCAAAGTATTTATAGAGGAGAAGAGAAATAAAAATAGAAAAGGTTCTCAGTAAGATGAATTATTGGATAAAAATAACAACTTCATAAAATACAATGTGTCCTTTTTTTAATCAGCATTTCCAATGACAAATCAGATTTTCTTCCCCTTATTTTGATTTTTAGCATTTATTAAAGATGGACTTTGTCAGATTATTGAGCAGATTGAAGTAACTAGCCCTCTGTACCTTTGACACTCAATAAACTGAGCACATTAGGAGGCCTCCTGGCCTTCTCTCCCATGATCTCCCTGTACAATGTGAACCTCGCCTTGCTCTGCATTCTCATGTAATCAATTCCCATGCTGTATTACAAGGGCTAATTATAGGAGTAATTTTAGTACCCTCCATTTTGGTAGTCAGCGTGGCCTCCATCTTCTCAATTTGTTTAAACTTGAAATTCTGCTTTAAATCCTTTCTTCACCTGTTTGAATAGATGATTAACTTTCACTCTTCAGTTTCCACTCAACATACCCTTTTCTGTAGTAGACTGTTTCCAAATATCATCACCAATAAGTATTCAACTCCCACCACCCAGAGGGGGACTATGTTGCCTTTCCTCTTGAGTCTAGAATAGTCTTTTGTCCCTTTGACTATGAGAATGCATCAGAAGTGGTATCTAAAACTTCTTAATTCAGACCTTGAGAAGGAGTGCATATCTTTCCTGGATTTTTTTTTTTGGAATTGAAACTACATTTTCTTAAAAACTTGGTCTTGGCAAGGCTGAAATAATAGTTTCTTTGGCAACTCCAGTGGATGAGAGAGATATTCTTTGCTAAAAATACAAGAATACAGGTTTATTCTCCCCAACATTAGTAGAGTGTGTTAGCTTAGATCTGAAACATACCCCAAAGACTCGTGTGTTCAGAGGTGGGACTTAAGGAAGGTGAGTGGATCATGGGGGTGCTACACTCATCACTGGAGTGATGTGCTGTTAGAAAGCAGTCCTGGATGGGAGTGGATTGTCTCTACAGGTGGGTCTTTGGAGGTACATTTGCCTTGCTTGCTTCTCCTTTCTCTTTCTGCTTCCTGGATGCCTGCCATAAGGTGAACAATCTTACTGTGCTATTTTCTTCCACTATGATGTCTCTGCTTTGGAGCCAGATAGCCATAGACTGAATGCTCTGAAACTGTGTGACAAATTTAAATTCTCCTCCTTTAAGTTACGGCTGTCAAGTATTGTGTCTGGTGAACAAAATAGATGACCGATACACTGGGTTATTTGTCCACTCCTGAACTAGATGCCATAGGCATAAAGTAAAACCTCCTCCATTGTTTTAATGTAGCTGTGGTAAAGAAGACTGGATCTCATTTTAGGACAATGTGAAATTACAAAAATATTAGAAGGAGCTAAATTATTATCTCATCTTCAAGATTATATTTTCTGCAGTTTAAATCATTAATGCTGGTACTGTTTACTGTATTTATCACCTGGAGATTTGCTATTTGCTATTTCTTCTGCCTTAGGATTTGACTTGGTGTCAATACGATTTGTAAATCTGCCAACATATGGATTTTTGAAATTTTAATTCATGATTTGAATGATTTACAGTAGGTTTCTCTAGGGTAATAATTTTTTTTTGCCATGGTAGAAATATCTCACTTTTTAACTCTAGAATATGAACCAGTTCTGAACATAGTAGGTTCTCTTTTATGTGTTTTGAAGTTAAAACATTTTAAGGTAAAATGAGTGGAGCAAAGAACATAAAGAGAAACCGCTCCTAAAAACAAAAAATAATAAAAGAAGAAGTCTGAGTTAGGGCAGGAGCCAGAATAAAAAGGGAGATGAGGGACAATATGGTGGAGCAAGAGACTGAGTTGGAGAGAGAGGACAGAAAAAAGAAAGAAATTTTAGGATGGAATGAGGAAAAGAAAAAAGAGAGAGAGAGAGAGAGAGAAAAAAAAGAATTTGAAGGGCCTCTTTCAGACTGTTTCTGTTCTCATATTATACCACATGTACAGCCATATGCAGAATCGAATTAGAAAACTACCCTTCATGAGAACCTATGGCTCTGCAGAGTTGGTCTAAGGACTGGCCCAATCAGGAGGTTTGAGAACGGGAGGGCGGGGGGTTGGAGGTCGTGGGGGTGTTTCAAGGGCGCCCGCGCGGCTACTTTCCTTACTGGGTCTGTTGTTGCACAGTCCGGAAAATGGATACATATTGAAGATATACTCCTAAGTGAAATAAATAAGTCACACATGTGTAAATACAGAATAGTTTCCCTGGTTTAAATAATCTGCAACAATGCATAAGATTCTAATAAGATTACTGACATTTAGAAAAGGGAAGAAAGGAGCTAAAGGTGTAGGGAAGGTGGGATGGGTAGGGGAAGAGTAAAAAGGGAAAAGAAAAAAAATGTGAGAGAATGAAAAGATGAAAATAAAGTGTTTGTAGATGGGGAGGGGAGGAGGGGGTGAAGGGAGGGCAGGGGTAAGAGGGAAAAATGAGAATCAAGACTTGCCATGTAGAGGTACATGATCCCAACAATGAATGTAACTGTACTGTATCCCTAAAATGTACCAATAAACTCAATTAAAGCTGAAAAAAAAACATTTTAAGGACTACTTTTTATCCCTTTTACAGAGGAAAAAAATGTATATTGATTGTTATTTAAAGGTACAGAAATAGCCCTAGGAGGTAGGAAATTTTACATAATATTGTTCGACAAATCTAAGGTACCAGAAATAGAGATCTTTCCATGAACATCGACTTCACTGGAATACAGCTCAATAATGCTCCCAAATGTGAGACAGAACATGAAGGATTGTTTGAAGAGATATAGAACAGCACTCAAGGGATGTTCATTTTGCAATTTTTCAAGGATAGTTGTATGTTTTCTGAAAGTCCTGTGAATGCTTGGGAGCCCCCAAAGTTAAATTTCTGATATAGGAATAATCTATACTTTTGGTGATAATTCATAGCATCTCAATAATTTCAATGTTTTCTTTTCACAATTCCTCTGAAGCAAATTCTTGGTGTCAAAGCCCAATAAAGATGAAGCCAAATATTGAACCTCCTGAGAATGTGGAGTGGAGTGGTGCTGAAGCCTCGATGTTCAGAGTCCTCATAGGCACTTACTATGATAATTTCTGTGCCATTGCCAGGTTGATTGGGACCAAAACATGCAGACAGGTATATGAGTTTAGAGTCAAAGAATCTAGCATCACAGCACCTGCTTCTGCTGAGGATGTGGACACTCCTCCACGAAAGAAGAAGAGTAAACACAGATTGTGGGCTGCACACTGCAGAAAGATACAATTGAAAAAGGACGGCTCCTCTAACGATGTTTACAACTATCAACACTGTGACCATCCAGGGCAGCCTTGTGACAGTTCATGCCCTTGTATGATAGCACAAAATTTTTGTGAAAAGTTTTGTCAGTGTAGTTCAGAGTGTCAGAACCGCTTTCCTGGATGCCGCTGCAAAGCACAGTGCAACACCAAGCAGTACCCATGCTACCTGGCTGTTCGAGAGTGTGACCCAGACCTCTGCCTGACCTGTGGAGCTGCAGACCACTGGGACAGCAAAAACGTGTCCTGCAAGAACTGTAGCATCCAGAGGGGCTCCAAAAAGCATTTACTGCTGGTACCATCGAATGTAGCAGGCTGGGGGATTTTCATCAAAGATCCTGTGCAGAAAAATGAGTTCATCTCAGAATACTGTGGAGAGATAATTTCTCAAGATGAAGCAGACAGAAGAGGAAAAGTATATGATAAATACATGTGCAGCTTCCTGTTCAACTTGAACAATGATTTTTGTGGTGGATGCAACCCTCAAGGGCAACAAAATTCATTTTGCGAATTACTCAGTAAATCCGAATTGCTATGCAAAAGTCATGATGGTGAATGGCGACCACAGGATTGGCATCTTTGCGAAGAGTGCCATCCAGACTGGTGAAGAGCTGTTCTTTGGTTATAGGTACAGCCAGGCTGACGCCCTGAAATACGTGGGCATTGAGCGCGAGATGGAAATCCCTTGACATCTGCTTCCTCCTTCTCCCCTTCCTCTGGAACAGCTGCCTTAGCTTCAGGAACCTCGAGTACATTGGGCAACTTAGAAAAGAAAATGCAGTTTGAAATTCTGAATTTGCAAAGTACTGTAACAATAATTTATAGTAACAAGTTTAAAAATCAACTTTTTATTGCTTTCTCACCAGCTGCAAAGTGTTTTGTACCAGTGAATTTTTGCAATAATGCAGTATGGTACATTTTTCAACTTTGAATAAAGTATACTTGAACTTATCAAAAAAAAAAAAGAGTGATGAGTTGTAGTAACGATGGTCAAATTTTTGGACTCAGCTTACAATTTAGGGTGTTCTGAGAGCTTGGGGCTTCATGCAATAGTGACTGACACAAGTCATCTTCCTTGATCCACGCTTCATAAGATTATTTTACTTTATTTAAATGTCTTCCCTTCTTTCACTTAAATTCCATCCTATAAAGAATTAATTCTCAAATATAGTGAGTAATTTTTATGTAATTCCCGCTGTTCTCTGTCTCATACTTAATCATTCTACCTCTCTTTCTTATTGTTAATCTACTCTTTGTTCTTCTGTTTCTCCTGAAGGAGAGTAAAATTACTATAAATCCTCAGATCTACAAGGATCTCGGATTATATTCAATTATCTGCATCTCTGCGTTACATTTTTCTCAGCATATGCTCTTCATTTTCCCACTAAACCAAATTCTTGCAACTTTATTAATGTCAATCATTCCTGTATTATAAAATTCATAGTGAGAATAAATAAACTATGAGCGTAGGAAAATTTTTTTGTCTCATCTTTTCATTCACAGTATAAATGGTTTCAAAACAGAAGATACTTATATTCACTGAGGGCTTTTTCTAAAATTAAAAACTATTATTTTGGGACAGATTTAGATCTATAGAAAAGAATTATAAAAAACAGAATAGAGAATTCCCTTGTAGTCCACACTCATTTTCCCTGTTAACATCTTACATTAGTACATTGCATTTATTACAATGAATGGATCATTAGTAATAAATTATTATTCAATAAAATCTATACTTTATTCCTATTCCTTAGTTTTTATTATATGTTCTTTTTTTCTATTTCATGGGTCATTTCTGTGATACTATATTTAACTTAGTGATTATGTCTTTTTAGGTCCCTGTTGGTTGTGACAGTTTCCCAGGCTTTTCTTGTCCTCGATGACCTTGGCTGCTTTGGAGAGTACTGGCCAGGTATTTTGTACAATGTCCTTTCATTTAGAATTCTGTTTTCTTTTCTTATGATTACAATGGGAATAAAACCTCAGAGGTAAAGTACCATTTTAACCCAACCTATCAAGGACACATACAGTAAACATGACTCTGACTGTTGGCACTGACCTTGATCACTTGCTGAGGTGGTTTCCTTCATTGTAAAATTATTTTTTTCCTGATTCTTATTCAGTATTCATGGGCAAGAAGGCACTGTGAGTAATGCACACATAAGGAATAGGAGCTATCTACATACACACACACACACATACACATACACACACATATCTACTAATTGTCTACCTTTCCCCTTTTATTATTTTCTTTATACAATGTAACTCATGGATGTTTATTTTCTACTTCGAGTAATAAACTGATACTCATTAATTTTGTTGCTCAAGTTGTTCCATCTTTGGCCATTAGAAGCTCTTTCATTTGACTCCTGTGTCCTTTTAACATGTCCCAATTCATTGTGAGAATTTTTAGTTTGCATTTGTCAGTTTTGGGCACTGTAATGTTTCAGGTTTTTCTCTCTAGCTTATTAGCATAGTTAGTCAGAATTCTTTGCTTATTCCTTTGTATTTCAGCCCTGAACCCAACAGTTGTCAAACAAGGCCCTGTGGAATGGGCTGGTGAGCACTTCACTCCTCCAGAATCAAGAACTGACATTCTCAGAGCTAAGCTGCAGCTAGCTGAATTGATTGTGCTCAATGATGTCAAAATTTATATATGTTACTTTTGAGGAAAAATATGACAGAATAAAATTTAAAAAAATAATAGAAGTCTTTCTAATAATCAAAATCCAATCAGTAAAATTTTTAATTAAGATAAAGGAAGCCTTATTTATGGTAGAACTAAAGAAAGAGATACGAGCAAGTTGTTAGGGAGCCACAATAGTGCCGAAATCTGGACTAGTGCCAGGAGAGCTACTAACACTCCTAGAGCCAGACAGCCAAGGAGTTGGAGAGTTGCATCACACAGATGGTGCTGACTGGAAAAACACTTCAGTAGAAACTGCTGGCATGAATCATTTGATCAGAGAGGAAATCATAGTAAATAGTATTGACACTGAGATGGAGATAACATAGAATTGTAGTAACTGCAGGAGTCATGCTATTCTTTCTCCTGTGACCATTCCAGTGGCTGCATATTGGCTGAACCCAAAGGAAGTGAGAGGACATGCTTGCCCTGTTGATGTGGTCTATGAAGGTGAGCCTGAGACACAGAACCAGATGGAGAATGACTCTAGGGTGGAAAATGATGATATTAGCAGAGTCATATTTGACTATTAATTCAAATCTACCATATATTGAATGGATAATTTTAATACTGAGTGTCACATGTAGCCACAGATATCAGGGTGTCATTACAACTTGAATTTGAGTATCATTTGAACTTGAGAGAAACTAAAAAGTTCACCAAAAGAAATCAGTAATGTTCTGTTCTTAGCATTGCACTTTATAATTCTAAGAACTTTTACATATATGGCCTCATTCAAAGAACATCAGTAAAATTCTATACCCTATCTATTGTCCTGAAGGATTTAATTAGCACAACACTGTAGGCTATCTATTATAGATAAGGAAAATTATGCATAGTGAAATTATCTAAGGTGCCAAAGAGTAGGTCCTGGATATCAATACATGTCATAGCCTCAAACTAATATACAAACTGGGCATGGTGGTGCACACCTGTAATCCCAGCATTTGGGAGGCTGAGGCAGGAGGATCTTCATGATTTCAAGGCCACCTGAAGTGCACAGTGAGACTCCATCTCAAAAACAAACAAAAACAGGAAAAAAAATCAAAACAAAACCAAAAACAATGTACATGATGCTTTAGACATATATATTAAAATAGAGGAATGTATATTAATATTTATTCATTAAGTTTATTGGTATATTTTAGGTATACAATACAGTTACATTCATCACTGGGGTCTTTTACCTTTACATGACATATCTTGGTTCTTATTTTTTCCCCTTTCCCCAGCCCTTCCTTCACCCCTTCCACCCTTCACTGTTTACAAAGACTTTGTTTTCATTTTTTTCCCTTTCTTATACTTTCTCTTTTCCTTTCTTATCTTTCCCCTCCACTTCCACTTCCGTACTCTTTTAGGGATTTTCTTCCTATTACACAATGTCAATTATATAATTTGAACCTTATTTACCCTTTTAGTTTTTCACACCAGAGAAACTATTCAGCATTTGCACATGTGTAACTTATGGTTTTCACTTAAGAGTATGGGCTCATTGTGCATCTACTTAGCTATAAATGTCTCTAGTTTTTCATTCTTTATGGCTGAGTAGTAGTACTCCATTTTATATATTAAAAAAACAACAATCCATATTCATTATCCAGTCTCCAGTTGGTGGGCAATTGGGCTGTTTCCAAATTTTAGCTACTATAAAGTGTGCCACTATAAACATGGGGGCACATATATCACAATGGTACTTCTAATCCTAGTTGGTTGAGGCATCTCCCTTTTGATTTCCACAGTGCTTGCACCAGTCTGCACTCCCACCAACAATGGAGATGGGTTCCTTTTTTCCCGCAACCCTGCCAGCATTTGTTACTGGTTGCTTGCTTTCTTGATGGCAGCCATTCTATCTTGGGTGAGGTGGAATCGCTGTATTGTTTTCATCTGTATCTTTTGAATGTTAAACACTTATTCCTGTGTTTATTTACTGCTTTTACTTGTTTGTCTGAGAAAGGAATGTTCATTTCAGATGCCCATTTTTGAATTGGGTCTTTGTATTTGAGGAGATCTGATTTTTTTGTTCTCTACCTATTCTAGATAGTAGATCTTTTTGTGAGGAACAGCTGGTAAAATTTTTTCCCACATTGTAGATTGTCTTTTTATCTCTGTTGATGATTTATCTTGCATTTCAGAAGCTTTTTATCAGATGAAACCCCAGTTGTTGATTCTTTTTTTTAATTGAGTTTATTGGTAGATTTTAGATATACAGTACAGTTACATTCATTATTGGGAACTTGTACCTCTACATAACAGGTCTTGGTTCTCATTTTTTCCCTTTTCCCTGCCCTCCCTTCACCCCCTCCTCCCCTCCCCAATTACAAATATTTTATTTCCATTTTTTCATTGTCTCATATTTTTTCTTTTCCATTATTACCTTTCCTCTACCTTCCCACTTTCCCTACACCTTTAGCCCTTTTCTTCCTATTTCACATTGTCATTTACATCGTTAGTATCTTATGTACTATTATAGTTTTTCACACCAGAAGTTGTTGGTTCTTTAAGCTAGTTCCTATGCTACTAAGGATTTTTAAAATAAAATCTTTTCCTATGCCAATATCTTCAAGAGTTCTACCTAATTTATCTTCCAGCAAGTTTAGTGTTTCTGTTTTAGTATTTATATCTTTAACCCACTTGGATTTTAGTTTAGTGCATGGTGAAAGATGGGGGTCTAGTTTTTTGTTTTTTTTGTTTATTTGTTTTTTTGGTACCAGGGATTGAACTTGGGACTGGGAGCTTACCTTCCTTTTTCTTGACCTAATTCCTCCATATCGTCATACTTCCTTGGTATCCTTTTTATTTTGTGACCAGTTTTGAATCTACCTCCCTTTGAGTTTGACTTCTTTATTTAAAGCCTCTTTTACTTCCCATTTCCAAATCTTAGATTAATGGTATTTATTCTTTCGTGCTCAGTCCCTGTGTTCCAAACACCAGTCAGATATAAACTCTGGTTTAGGGTCTCAAGTCTGCTTGCCTAAGATAAATGTCCATATCCAGATGTGACAATCTGCCTTACCCA